AACTTGCTCCTTAGTAAGAGGGTAGGGCTGGTTCATGGCTGGAGAGCACCAGGGCTGTAATAATATACGGTTGTATGCCGAAGGACACGACCTACTTATAAACACACGCAGAACATTCTAGCATGCTCTGGAAAAAAATTGTACTGGATATTCAAGAAATTCCGAGAACTTTCTTTCCAATCGGATACATGATATAGGATCGCTGCTTCGACAGCAGCTGGATCTTTTCATTCTCTGTGAAACCCTGTGCTGACATTTTTTGTGATAATACATTATTCTCTGACCTCCATTCAGGTCTCAAAAAGTTTCTTAATAATCACTGCTAGCGTAATTTGCCGAAGTTCGAACCCCTCAGAAAATTGTGCCTAAGTTCAAGATAGCACAGATTCGATCCCCATCACACAATGCTATATGCCAAAATAATGCCAATCACATCTTTTTGCATCGTCAGCTGAATGGAAGAGGTGAATTGGGGATCACTTGTCACATAGGGCCAGGAGCATGGATGTACTTCTCATTTACTTGAGCTGAGGTCAAGGAGCCTGGATGATTGGTACCATTCTCACAACTTCAGCGGTCATGTTCCAAGATTTTTCCTGGCTTCTTCTGTGACTTTTTAGTCTTTGTATGCAACACAAGCATTTATTCTAGAGCTGTGTAACAATAAGACTAGGCTACTATCTTCTTTAGTCGCACAGATCATGAACAATAAGACACTCTCGAACTTAGGAACACAACCACATCGTGTTCCTTATTTCAATATAGTGGAGAAAAGGAATGTGCCTAAGTTTGAGGCAACATTGAAATTAGGAACATACTGGGAAAAAAATAGAGAAAAGTGGAGAAATTTTTTGGAATATTTCTGTCATAAAGGAATCAATTTAGTGTTATGTTAGTGTTATATATTGAACAGAAAGTTTGAAATTAGTGAGTCATTCCATGATTACAGAATTAGGAGAAGAAAAAAAGGCTATTTTGTGACTGTCAGATGGGACGTGTCCAGAAAGTACAATTGAAAATGAGAAGTCTGCTCTTATCTCCAATGTATATGTTCTTTTTTGAAATATCATTCAAAATTAAACAAAAGACATCTCTTCACACCTATGCTGATTTGATAATATTATTAACTTTTGCTCAAAATTCAAAATTTAAATATTTAGAGGAATTTCTTGTTACAAAACTTTGGACCACTTTGAATAGAGAGATCCTATTATGACTGAAAGGACCATCTCATCCAAGCAAAAAACAATCAAGAAGGTACCCTCCCTACCAAACAATTTTTTCCCAGGCTCTCAGTCACATGCAGCAGGCACGTGTTTTCACTTTTCATTTTCTACTCCTATGATGTATAAACAAGATATTCTTGGCAAAAAAATACCAGTGGTCCTGTATTAACTTTTTCTTTAGCATGATCTTACATAAACTTAAACAAACAAAAAAAACTGATCGAAGGATCTCTTTCTGCTTCTATTCTTTCTAAATAGAGCCAAGCAGTCATCCGATGTACATCCATCGTATATTCTCAAATCCAGAGGACATATGTCGGATGTCTGAGGCTGCCTGGAGATAACAGGAATGCTTTTTGCAATTAGGGGCATCCCCTTCAGAAGACACAGGCTCTTGTCCACAAACATTCCTATCCCTATAGGTTATAAAATTGAAGGGCTTGCTTTTATTTTGATATAGAGACGAGCTTCAACATTTCAACATACAGACATAACTAAGAACAAACCATATCAAAATTAGGAACACTTCTGCTCAAACATAGGAACACCCCTTTTGAAATTAGGTGCACTACACCTCATTGACAAAATGTTGTCTCTATTATATTCCAAATGTGTGATTTCCATTATTTTTGCACCCAGTTTATCTTTAAAACCAAGAAGTCAATGTTGAACCAAAAAGCAACATGGCACTGCTAATAAATGTCTGAGACAGAAATTCCCATACCAGGTTAAAAAAACGCCTCAAACTTAGGCACATTATGCTACATATGAACAAAAGGAGGAGAGAACCTCATTTGCAGCAGCCTCAATTTTGTCAGCAGAGAGGTCCATCTCTTCGTTGGGAATCATTGTCATTGGAGAAATGGCATTCATGGACGTGTCAGGTGTGGTGCTGGATCCAGCAGGTGGACTGTCATTTATCCTCAAGGCATCAGCTACTTCTTCATACAGAGTGTTACTCTTGGCCAGATGGTGGAGCTTTTCCCATGCCTTCTCCCGATCTTTTAGCCTGTCCTTTTCCCTGTGTCCATCAAATGGATTTTCATATTACAATGTTGTCCAAACCAATCCATCAAATGCATTCAAATCACTGAATTACATTCACATCCCAAACACCAAGCAATTACCTGTACAAGTCCATCCCATGGTAGAAAATCTATATATTTTAGAACCTATAAACACCTCCAAAAGCAGTTATTCCTTGAACACAGTCAGAATGCATGCATGAGATCTTTCCAGAAGAAAATCTAGTAGTAAAAGCATATAAAACATTTCACTTATGAACCTGAACCAACCACGAATCTGTTGGATAGTTGATGATTTTCCTTATGGGATAGTCTGAATTCACTCACTTTTGACGCTCAGTCTTGTATTGCTGGGTGCACTCATCAAAGAGCTTTTGATTCATCTCCATGAAGAGCTTCAAGGCATTGTAGATAAGCCCATGAATGGTTCTTGGGGAGGAAGAAGAAATGAAATATCCTTCAATATATATCCTCATATACTCTGGTTCAAGCAACTGGTATCATCTGTGCCACTTTTTAGATACTCCCTGCAAATTACTTTTAAATAAGGCTGGGAGATAAAAATGAACACAGAAAAGTTGACTTGCATATATGCATTAGAAAAAGAGAACTATCTTGATTAGGGACAATTTTGTATAATACCATGGATAGGAGAGGAAATCAATTTGAAGAACTGACATCTAATGTACCTAAAAAATTGTTTTCCACAATTGCCATCATATTTCAACAGGTACAATTGTGGACTATAAATTGATGAGTGAGGGGGCTGCAATATGAGAATGAAGGAAAAACGAAAAGACCAAAGAGATTCATAATCAATATGAAATGGTACTTCCATCAGATTCTGAATAAAGGGAGGAATTGAAATTACTGGCATTTACTTGAATCAGGCCAAGTCAGATCTGCAACTAACAGGAACCTTTTTAAGACAATATTTTCCCATATGTTAAAAATGAGTTAGAGTTGAAAATCTACTATTGATACCAATATGATTTTCTTCTTGCAATGTTTTTTATGCAAAGGAAGCCCAGTTTTCTAATCTAATCTGATTTGTTTTAAAGAGCCTCAGTTAACGCAGGAAATAATAACATGCTGCTTGCAATTACCAGGAACTGGAATTTTAATCCTCAATTCATGAGGTAGTGGATATTGGAGAAATTCCAGTACTGTTGCATTTCCAATGATATTACATGTTCATCACAGAAGACGTGATGGCAGTTTCAGAGACATTCACAAACACCATCATATTTCTTTTATGGATGAAAGCACTAAGAGAAAGAGAGAGAGAAAGAGAGCCATTATTAAAGCATTACTAGGGTTATGCCATCTTTGTTTACATGCCATGCATGCCATCTATTGGGTTGATTGGAAAGTTCTGGCCGTTTCGAGAACATTCCATACAACTGAGTTTTTTAAAAAGCAAAAAAGTTCATTCAACAAAGTAATTGCCATCACAGTCAATCACCTTCTGCCAATGATCAGGCAGACTCCTGATTCCATCCCTGTAGAAATGAACTGGCTGTGAGTTGAAAAAATCAGTCAGCCAGTTTTCGACCTCATCATCGTTATCATTGAACCTTTTCTGGCAAAGATGGTTGTTCAGAGCGCGGAAGAGATGGTAGTCGGTTGGCACCAGATCTGGGCTATATGGAGGGTGAGGCAGAACCTCCCAGCCCAGATCCAGCAGTTTCTGCCATGTGATCTTTACGACATGTGGCCTTGCGTTGTCGTGCAGGAATTGAACATGGTGGTGCCCTGGCTTCAACGTGCGGAGTCTGTAGGTGAGCTTCTGCAGCCGATCGCAGTAGTAGATGGTGGTGATACTGATATTGGGTGGGAGCAGCTTGAAGTAGATCACGCCTTGCATGTCCCACCAAATGCACGACATGACTTTTCTGGGGTGCAGGTCACCTTTCGGCTCCAGCTCTGGCTGGGCATCAGCATTGACCCACTGGCGCCTGCATCAGTAGTTGACGTACAGCATCCACTTTTCGTCTCCAGTGACTATGGAATCCAACCAGTCATTTATGCACTTGTACAACAGCAGTGAAGTGCACACCTCAGCACAGCGTTTGCGGTTGCGGTCAGTCAGATCGTGGGGTACCCACTGACCCAACTTGCTCTTCTTGCCGATTGCAACCAGGTGTGTCACGATCGTGGACTGGGTGCAGCCAATTGCTGCCACTACGTCACGGGTACTTTGCCTTGGATCGGCTTCCACTGTGAGCTGCAACTTCTCATCGTCGATTTCAGATGGGCGGCCTGACCTGGGCTCATCCTCGCGCTGTCCTTTCATATACTGCACCTTGGCCAAATGCAGCGCAGATGCGGCGACTCGATTCAGCTGCTGTGATGCCAGATAGGAAGTTGTAAAGAAGGCACTGACGTTGGGCGGTCTTGTTAAAGTCGATTTTGTAAGTCATGGTTATGGGCTTTGAATGACTAAGCAACTGCTGCATAATCACGCCCACACACCCTTTATATACTGCTACTGTGGAAGGTTTCGAGAAAGTTCCAGAAATTTATTTTCTGGAAAATTCTTGAAACGGCCAGAACTTTCCAATCGACCCAATAATAACTAGTGAGAAACACAAGTTTCTTCCAAATGTGTCTACCTCAAACTGGAGCAATAAATGGAATATGACAGTGTTCATGAAAGTCTCATTACTTATTGAATTGCCCTTGTACTTTCTTACTGATTGCCTTTCATTCACTAAAAACTTCAGCAGCATTCAGTTTTTCTTCTTGAAACATGGATATCTCTATTGATGTCAGAATGGCTGATCCATATCCAATCTTTCATTACAATTGACTCCTCCAAATGATTGAAAATGTTGCAAAGATGATGGAAAACAGTAAGACAGCATGAGTTGCTCTCTTAGCATGCAAAAAAATTCCTAAAACCACATTAGTGTTTTTCACTTGACTTAGAAACTAGTGCATGAGACCATCCTCATGCAAGAGTCAGTAAGATCAAAACAGACGAGGCAGGTTCATCTAAAATAGGCACTGTTTCAAGTTCAAGAGATAATGGAGTGACTACTGGAGGTTCTTGATACCAGTCAAGGTAAAAAAGCAAAAGGCCCAAACAGGCAGAATTATACAGGTGGGTAGTTCCAGAGTAAATGGAACAAAAGTGGTATAAAATGCTTTCCAAATACTCCCTCCAATTGAACTTTTCAGCATTGTATGGATACTAAACCTAGACTAAATAAGGAATCCACTAAATATGCATCACCTGACACGAGATAGTCTTACATTTCTCCTGCCATGCTCCATTTTGATCAATTTAACACTTGCTTCATGAACTTTGTTTTAGAAGATTTTGTGTTACTTTAATAAGGCTGGAAAACTCACCTAGTCACTTATTTATCAACAAAAAATGTCATTTGGCACCAAGAAAGGTGACAGCCTATGCATTCTTGAAAATATGGAAGCTTCAGGTCAAGTCAAATCAGAGAGAATTGGAAGGGAAGCAACAGAATGAAAACTATAGGCTAAAAACGTTACATCAGTAAAACAAAATGAATGGCCTTACTTTTCTTCATCCATGGGATAAATGAGAAATTTTTTGCTGAAATAGGTGCAAGTATCTATATTTTATAAGGCAATGATGAAAAAGAAATTCTGAACCAAACATATTCAAAGTATACTATCATACTTGTTTTCCTTTTGAGTCTGGTGTCACGTCATAACTTTGGAACTGCCCAAGAGTGAATAGGCCAACCAAAAAATATATTTTGTGAAGGTCTCAGTACAAAATTAGGTAACCTCTACAATTTCAACATCACCCAAAGTTGGCAAGGTAGAAATGGTGATTCCAAGGGAGTATGCATGAGTAGAGAGTCATGGCATGCAACATTTTGCATTGTCATTTCAGCAAATAGATCACTGTCATTGACTAGCATTATTGTACTTCATGCTCTACAAGCATAAAAAAAAAACATGAACAGAGAAAAGCAAATACAAAACTCACTTGTTCCAATGAGACTTTGAATTTTTATATAATGCAGGAAACATGATGGGTAGTATCACCTGTGCATTATCACTGATGAGGGACATGATATACTCATTGTTCCAATAGTACAAGGCCCTCTCTGCCACCTGAAAGAGGACAAAGTGCATGATGATCATCCCCTCTAAATGAACCCAAGTGCCAAATTAAGGTTCTCTGTTCTCTGAATATAAAAGATGTTATGTGCAGGAGACATAGGAAATTGAATAAATTAAACATGAGTGAAAGATTTCCACAATGATTCCACAATACAGAAAAAGTGGCATGTTCAAAATATATGAGGATGAACTTGCTGTAACAGAATACCTGAAAATGTGGTGATGAGACACATCTCGCCAGCTGCCTGAAGAGTGGGACCATGACTTTCTGAAACTCTGCTGGTTCTATCACATCCAAGATCTCTTCAAGCTCATTCAAGAACATCACCTGTAGCAAGGAGGCAAACGTAAAGGAACTAAGTGATAAGAAAATTGTCGTTTCTACCTATCAGTGAAATCTGAGCCAAAACAGTAGGCCTATGATTAAACAAAAAAACAAAAGAAGTAAGAGAAGGGGAGAGACGCACTTCTTTTGGACTGTGGACCTTGGGCCAGAACTTGAGGAGGTTGAGGATGACGGGTTCTGTGAGCGAGGGGTCCTTCTCAAGGAACTGTACCACACAATAGGCCAGCTGAGGGTGGTACACTGACAGGGATTTCACCTTATGCAAAGGCATGAGAACCTTCAGAAGGAACACCTTGTGTTCCTCCTTCAGAGGCAGTGCAAATCCGTTGATAATGCTAAGGGAAAAAGGGGAGGTATAAAGAATTAATATCGCCCATTCCCAAAGTCATACATCAATATCGGCAAGAAGCTCTCTTAAGGTTGCTAAACCGGCGTTGTATCGTTACCATTAAAACGTGATATTTAAGTTCCTCAGAACATCTTTGTTTCGATGTTACTGCTTCAGTATAAAAACCGTGGAATACCGCATATAACTACGCCATCGAGTAAATCCAGTATGAATTTTACCGGCATCCGTAGAGTTCTCACTGCCACCGAACTGCGTCTTGAAGGGGAGGGCAAGTGTTATATGCTTTTTGTTCACATATCGTGGCGCCTAGAATCACCTTCCTAAAACAAAATGAACTTCGTCACACCTTTCCCCCCCCCCCCCCTCTTTGCGTCCACGCTGAAAATATTGGTGATTGGCACCAAAGTCCGTAAGTGCGCTTCTACAAGAACTCACTCGCTCACACAGGGTTAATGCAAATGATCGGTAGGTGGATTGGGTTCGTGTTAATCGAGATGCATCAATCAAACTATTCTATGATATGAGATTGATCGGGAGCTCGGGGATGGAAGTCGCATGGAAGAAGGGAGAACTAGGGAGGTGCGTGACTTGGAGGTAGGTGCGCGCGACACGTGTTCTTCCTCTCAGTCCCTCACATGCAATGACCGAAAGTTCATCTAATAGCACTGAAACAAGAAAACTAGTCTACCAGTTGACCCCCGCCAACAACTAGGCGATGCGACGAATCCTCTTGTTTCTAATCGAAAGTACAGAATACATGCGATCTGCATACAATCGCAATTAAAAAAACGGCCTTTCCTTACGAGTTAACTTCCGGACTTGTAACTCAAGCCCCACCTTCCGCTAGCGTTAACGCCGAAAAAGCGTGGTACAGAGCCTCCGCTAACAAGGATTTGCATACATTTCACAAAGTTCTAGTTGATATTGTCTCTGCCCTTTACCAAGGCTGATGAAGGGTGTCAAGTCAATACTGACATGGTGGGAAAAGAACACCTGACATCATCCTCCTCTTTCAAACACCTATACTTAACGACTATTGTCATCAATAACCTAAGGCACTACACATTGAAGGTCTCGCCAACCTTTGACACAATCGATGCCGATACTATTGGCCACAACCGACCACGTGATCAGTCTTGGCAAATTTTACTTTACGTGACATTTACATCACTCATCTGGGTGATTCAGTCAAGATCATACTGCATCCGAGACTGGAAGTTACGCCCTAAAGTGAATTATGCTCTATGATTTTACATTAAGCTATGCAAGAATGCAGGACTCGTGGCACCATGAGACCAAAAAAAAAAAAAGCAAAATGCAGAAAGTGCAAACCAGTCAAGAAGCTTTATTTACAGGGCTGTTGGGGAAAAAAGTTAAAATAGAATACTAATGCTGTCATGTAGCCTATGATAGTATTTGTATCTAGAAAAGGGTACACAGAGGATATACATAATTAAAATATTGCTTCTGACTGAGGTTTGAGCACTACACAGATATAATAGCATTTTAATCCTTTCAGTCCAGAAGACAGGTAGGACAAGAACTATATTCTTCACTCAATTTACATTGCTTTGGCACCAAATCAATAATATTCTTCTGCGAAGTAGAGGTGTAGTGCCAACACTACACCTCTTTTGTCCTTTTGCAGCAGCGATTGGTAGGACTAGTAAGCCTAAAATGTGCTTCTTCAAGAAACCAGCCATCCCTGGGATGCCACCATGATCCACAACTTGAAAAATTTGCAATTTCAAGACCCTTGCAATAAGTTATTCATGCGCACAAAGGCGAGCAAATTCAGAGGGAATAGAAGATATTTAGAACAGCAAATATTGAAGGTTTACTATTCCTGTTCCATTGAGGTAAATACCGGGTGAGGCAAAAAGAAATGCGCCCCTCTTTGAAATTCTTTGGAGTTTATGAGACAGCAGGTGGCACGGCAAATTTGATTGACTTGACTTCTACATACCCATTAAATATCCTAAATGTTTTGCTCACTTTTTTTCCCAGCCGTTTTGTCGCATTAGCGATAACACGAAGGCAAATCGAAATTTGTGTTTGCGCGAGGAATCTTATCAACGCGAGGATAGTTGGTACACGTTGTGAAGACCAATCTCGGGTCAGAGTCATCTGCCCATGGAAGTGCTGCTCTTCGCGAAAGGATGGAATGGGGCAAGAATTTTTAAGAATTTCCTAGTAAGGGATGAAAAGAATGTCGGCCTATCGCCAAGAGGCTGATTCACAGGATGCGAGAAACTGGTTCGTCTGAGAGAAAGCGGAGGACTAAACTAGTATGAACGGAAGAAAATCTCCGTTTGTATGGAAGAAATCATTGTTCAGGGTGGCAGGTTCTCCGGTCACGTTGAGGTGCGAGCGTAAAAATTAAAATTCCAGTTGCTTTTGTAAAATCGCTCGTATGGCGAATTGGCTAGATGTAAACGGGCAAAAACTTTAGGATCCTCAAAGGATGCATAAGCACAGGGCTGGCCCTAGCTACTTCGGCACCCTGTGCAAAGATTCCCCGCCGATGGGAGATGGGTCAATCCCTAGCGTCCAAAAGGCATTTCCACTTTAAGTGAAACTGAGGGTGGCGTCCATTATTGCTTCATTCACTCTGGCACGTTTTGGCGCGCCTGGTGAATTTGTGCCCTGTGCAAGGGCACATGTGGCACATGCCTAAGGCCGGTCCTGCATAGACATATGGATGAGAGAAACTTGGCTTAGGTATATGCTGTTTCAGAGGCGCCACGGAATTTCTAAGAGCGACGCTCTGCATCGAAAAATAAAATTATCACCTTATATTTGGGCAAGGAATTAAATGGAATCACATATCTTCTCCATCCATGAGAAATGTGTGAGTAGTCAAGATGAGAAAGTAGGACCGGTAAACTAACAATAGTGACCAGATACAATTCTGTAATAAATTCAATCCAGGGATCCCTCTTGTCGCTATGCATGATTACATTTTCTAAATTCTGGAGGCAGAAAAATGTAGCATAGCACTTAAGAAATCATGGCATGAATAGTTAATAGGCCTTTGTGGGCAGCAGTTTGATCCTCTTTAGTGTTCCATTGCCTAGGTTTCTCTTTTTTGGACCATAATGGACATGATGAGATGCTGAAAATGAACCCAGTGCCTTTTGGAGCATCCAGGCTATTTTTTCAAATAGTATTTTCATTTTCCTTCATAAATAATACGGAGTAGTATAGAAAGCATGGGACCGATGCCAACCGGAATGCGTTTTTTGTCTTTCAAAGCGTAACTGCTCTAATAGTTTGGAGACCCTGGTGTTTTTTTAAATATTTATTGCTTGTATCTGAATAAGCTTAAAGCTGCACCAGCAAGAGCAGAGGAAAACCTAATTAATTCGATATTGGATAGTTTGAAGTATCAAATACTTGGAAGGCATCGGCATTCCCTGTCTAAGAGGATGGTGATTAGTATGGATAAGGATAATTTGAATATAGCTAATTTGAAATTCAAAGGGGATTAATCCCTACCATCAACAGACAACCTACTGTTCCAAACCTTGCATTTCAACTGGCTGCAAGGCCAACTAATTGCCTTCTTGGAAGTTCCTTTTGTCATTCATAAGAATTCTAAATGTAGACTAACATCTCCTTTCACCAACTGTCACATGACATTCAGTCAAAAAACTTGCCTAGATGTTGCAGAGTCTGCTACTTACCCTCAGTGTTGGGAAAGCAAAGCAATATGCCATGGCAAACAAAAGAGAAATTTCAACAAAATCAGACAAATTGAACCTGTTTATTTTCAAGTTGGCGTTTTTTGGGTCCCTGATTTTTGAATTGATGTGATGCTCCTGCATTGAATTTTTATGCATATTTGCATGACATTTATATATACCAGTGAAAACTGTGAAAATCATCAATAAAAAAAGGGTAGTTCACCCAAACCACATGCTTGAAATGCATACATTTTCATGTCTACTTTAATAATAATGCAACAGAAAGTCAATTATTTACAACAAAAGGTGCTGCAGAACACATAAGTTAAAATTTTTTTAAACAATGCAAATGGTAATGGTGGAGAAACAGCAATGTGAATCAAATTTCTTTAAAAAGGGATGGAAATATGTTCAATTGCTTGCAAACTGAGTATTGTAATGAGCAGAGGACACTGATTTATGTATAGTTCAACAGAGTTGAGGAAAGTTGCACCGCCGAGAGCAATGAACTGCTTTGACATCAATGAATTACTTTCTTCAGTCACAGTTGTTGCTGGTCTTCCTGTATAAGGTGCATTGTTCAGTGGTGCAACTGCCCTTAACTCTTTCATGGTCAGTGGTACAGAACCATCTTTTAATGTATTGAAGCAAGGTGGTACAATTAGTGTACCACTTATTTTGACACCAGAATGAGTGGTAACATATACAAAATTTCTTACTGATTGTGTTCATTTATGTCAAAAAAATGTATCTTATTACAATGTTTTTCTGAAATTAAAAACACATGCAGCAAGGGATTTTTTTTCCTTGAAATTTTTGTACATGAAAGAGTTAAACCAATTGAACCCTGTGTAAATATATACACTGAATATGTACTCATTACCATAGACAGTTGTCAAACATTTAAACATAAATCAAGCACTTTCTCCTGCTTTTAAAATATACCTGATAATGCATTGCTGTTCCTGCATCACCCCCTTTGCATACTGAAGTGCCCACTGTCCTCATGAACTGACTTTCTAAAGCACTTTTGCTAAAGTGGACAGGAATGCATATTTGTACTAAGTTTCTGTGTTTAGGATAAAACAGGAGAAATTAAACAAATCTGGTTACTTTCAGAACAACACACAAGATTACTGGTCCTCAATGTATTAGAATTGAATTTGAATACCATATAATCATTGCTCTAAATTACCATGCTTTGCTTGGAACCCATAAAGGTCTATTGGTTGAAAATCATTGACCTCATCATTTTGATTGGCACTAGATAGCTGTTGGACCACATATTGTAAATTACACTAAAGTATTACAAATATTCCTTTCTGAAAAACCTTCCTACTTTCTATGCCCTCTCAACCAGATATAGCCCCTTCTTTCCCTCTTGAATTCTAGATCTCATTCTGCACCAAAAGCATGTTCCATATCCTGGGAATGCTGTCTATAATTAGCATCCAAATAATATGCAGTTTGTGCTTGTCACAAGGAATGCATTCAAGGGAAGAGAAGGGACTATATCAACACAAGATGGCAAAGGAAATGGGGAGGCTTTTCTTGGAAAGAATTATCACCATTGCTATGCAGATATTTTACTTATTATAAATCTTTCCAAAGAGATTGTAAATGATGCTATAACATAATATATATGTATAACAGTAGAACTCCTTTTTTTTGCTGCACAATGTATAATCATGGAATTACTGGAAGCAGAATGATGACTTCCAAGATCATACATTTGACCAGAATTATCTTAGAGGTGAAGGAGTCCATGGATGCATGCTATATCCCATTGTGAATACAGTAGAGTAAACCAAGTAGTTTGCCAGATGTTTATGAAGAGCCTTGAGTTATCCTAAGCCACTCACCTTCCCAAGATCTCCAGCAGCTCTGCAACTCCATTGTGATGTTCTGATTCATAAATGAACCTGTACAAGAGAAGCAGAATAGATGTCATTAGCTTTGATGGCTCACTTACTTATTTATTGACAATTTGTATGATTTTGTCCTCACTTGTAGAAGATATTGTTGATCTGTTTCCGGATGTAGGCTCTTTGTCCAAGGAACTTTCCATATATCCTGTGCAGAGTGGTCTTGAGAAAATCTCGTTCACGTGGGTCTTCAGAATCGAACAAATCCAGGAGCTATGCAAAGATAAGATGAATATGCAACTTCTAGCTCTCTCACACACTGACATTTTAGATTTCAATGCGCTTCACTCAGACATACCAGATAATGTCAAAACAATGGAAGATATTGTGATAACTGTGCCTTCAGTAGCCTAAATTGTCTGTATCTAAGATACAAGCCAGTGAGAGAAATAGTCAAAATAGATCACCTTGAATTTTCAAACTACAGTAAAAGAAAACTTCCATTACCAGATTATTAGGATGTGTGCAAAGTGTCCACTAAATTGGGGAGACAGAGCTCTGAGATCAAGGCTTCTGAAGCAAAACCTGTCAGAAAAGAAAATATGTATGAGGACATGAGGGTACAGGTCCTAACAACCATTCCTTGACAAGCCCTTGGCAGAGAATGAAAGGAGTTGATTCGTATTGTCTGGAGATGTCACTGATGAATGGCCAGTTGTATCAGAGGAAGGTGCCAACCTATTCCCTTCCCGACACTCCCACTGCCCTAGTGACCGTGGTTAGAGGGTCCATCTGTCTCTCCAACTTTCAAATAGAGCACATATCCTAATGTACCATTGAGGACCCAAAAACGCAAAATGAACCTTTCAATGCTACAGTGTCAAACTCATTATCAATTATGAACCATCACGATCATCGGTGGAAAGGCATGAAAAATAAATAACCACTATAGATAACCATAAGCATTATTCTTTCATCCTTTTCAATATGATATGATAGGCCTGAGGAAGAACGCATAAACGAAGTCAATATAGAGGAATAAAAATAGACATCCCTTCCCCAACAGAATCAAATAATAATATCATTTAATATTTCACCATGCCCAACGACACGGCGTCCTGCAGGGTTTTCTTTAATTTCGCCATCCAAACAATATTTAAACGAAGGCAAATGAGGAATCTTGAAGGGAGTTTACTCATGACGCACACTCGCATGAAAATTACTCACCCACGAGATCGTCTCCATGGATCTGCTGTTCCCAAACTTCTTTAAATCGCGATCCAATTCCCTTTTTCTTAAATTTGTACAACCCACCGCCCGTCTGACCCAATCAGAAGAGAAATTAAAGAAGCTGCAACAAGAGGAGAAGGGTTCAGAGCGAAGGGCCGCGAGAGATGCTAGTGATAAAGCGAGGGTGGAAGGGGGGGTTTCCTAGCAGAAACAAACTTGGCTGGCAGCAGAAATCCGTCAGCTGCAGTCATAGTTGCGTCGCTGTCGTCTAATATGGCATATGCACTTCCTGGTCTTTGCCGCGACGATCATTTCAAGGCGGAACCTTTCCCTATGTGTATAAAAGTATTCCCCATTTCTTTCGACCTACCTTGAAGCCCCTCGCAGATCACAAGTGGTAGCTACCCACAGTTTGGGAACCGCTGTCATAAACGAGCATCGCCTGAGCGAATATTTCCACGAAATAATCTCTCTTTCTAGGAAGTACACTTACAAACGGAGGTCGTCTATGGGGACATTCTGTCATGCAATGTACTGGCTTGTGAAAAACCGCCCTTAACGGGTAACTTACCTGTAGGACGAAGGACTGGTCGATGTATCGCTTGGCGATGTTCGGTTGGAAGTCCGGGGACTCTAGAAACCGTAGGAAGAATTCATAAATGAGTTGGAGATGGGGCCATGCAGCCTCCAAAGCCGGCTCGTCCTCCTCGGGATCAAATTCGGCGCCAGTTGGGTTCGATGGTGGGGGCAATGTCCGAAACAGGTTTATAGCAAACTGCAAGCCAAAAAAAAGGTTGGGGGGAAAAAGTTAAACTGCATTCGGAATGCGATAGTTGCAAAAATTAATCATACAAGCACTACACTAATGGAGTGTATTTTTTCAGAGCTCTAACCAAGATTAAATTCGGTGGATATCAATAAAGCACTCCTGTGTCATGTCTATTCGCGTCAGCGTTGCATGCGACAGCTCAACGGGTCAAATACATGTCACTCATTGCCTCATGGTTACATTCAATAGTCTGTAATTCACGAGACATTCGCATCTGTTATGATTCCATAAGGCAATACGTTAGCCATGTCACACTGTGTTAGCATGCTTTTCTTCAAGGGTATTCTCTAGGCATCTGTCTTAATGTAAAGCCAGCATCGATACGTTACCAAATCTACAAATCGAAGCATGCATGCGACGCAACTGTTGTTCCGTACACACGGCAATGATACAGCTCGGGGAATGGAAATGATGATAGAATGTGAAAGCAGGAGTACTGACCATATGCACGGCTTCAGCATAGATTGCCTCGGTGATGACTCCTCGGTTGTTGGTCACAAATTCGACCATCTCGTGGAGGGCAGCTCTCTTCACCTCCTTGCCCTTAAGGTCCGACAAGGGCTCGGACACAAAGTCAAACACCACACAACACTGCTGAATCTTCTGCACAAACAGAGACTCCCTCTCTCCTGGTGCCGCATCTGGAATGCAAAGGGCACCATGCATGAGATGGCATGATATCTCACTCTCACTCGCTCAAATGCGACGGCAGATGGAAAATTGCAGGATTACGCGAAGAAAAGAGGGATGGAAGAGAGACATTTCATATCTCTTTCGCGGATGCAGGGGGAGGCATCGATCAAAAGTAGATTTTCTCTTCGTCAGAGATAAAAAATTAACTACCCCCCTAGAATACAGTAAATGCGTTTTCATTCAGGATGGGGTGGAGGGGGTGGGATGTGTAATGAAGGGATTCTATCGCGACACCAATAATTTAAAACCCTCCTCTAGAATAACGTAACTGTGCTTTCATTCTTGGGGTGGGAGGAGAAAACGTAATGAAGGGGTACTATCACGCCACCACGAATTTAAAGAGACCCCATAGAATACAACAACTGCTAACATTCATGGTATAGGGGGAGAGAATATGTAATGAAGGGATTCCATCGCGTCACCAGAAATTTTCAGTCATAACTCCCAACCAGGCAGAAGAGGGCACGTTTATTAAGACGAAGAAGGGCAACATTGGGAATGAGAGAGTAAAGGAGGTTCCAAAGAGATGAAAACCAAGGGAGGGAATCAAGATCCATTCCACCGGGATGCCACAGGATATGAAAGCAACGGAGACATAGTAGATATTGCCTTGGAAACGGCACGTCTTTCTTTTGTACCCTATGGCTTTACTTCGCTTTTACGGGAAAGAAAATCGGGACAGCAATATTGACGGTACATATTGGCTGAAATGTAACTCCGAGTCGCTCTGCGAAATTCGTTCCCGGGGTCGAAGCTACACGCGAAAACCGTATCTTCATTCTTCAGTAAAGAGAAGAGATATCTCACCGATGAGGCGGGCCAGGTCCTTCTGATAGAGATGCCGGTAGTGGGAATTATTGGCACGGCTTCGAAAGCCATTGTGATATGGGGGGGTTCGAGGTTTCACCTGGATCGGTGACTTCGGGAAGGTGACAGTCGGCGTCACGCCTTGCTTGATGTCGAAGTGACTCGGATTATTCATCCGACCACCGTATCATCATTACAAGTACTGCGTGATTTCAATGTCAGACGAGTACAAGCGCGGGAGAGGAGACACAAGAGGAGCAGCAGAGAAGACGGAGCCCGACTCCCGTTCCTGCCCCCTTCCTCTCGGTTTCCCCATTCCCAAGCCTTCCCACCGAGCAGAAGCACTCCCTCCCAAGTCCCTAGTCCTTTCTTCTTTCGGGAGAGGGAGAAAATCGAAGCGTATGCGTTGTTCCCCCAGACAAACCCTCTATCTCTCTTCAAAATCATCTCCGTTTAGAAATGACGGGGTCCTTCAATGAATTTCGACTCGCCTCGTCGACGCGACAATTTCCTTCAATGACACTCCGGCAGCAAAGATCAAGAGCCATCATCTACTTGAAGGATTCGCAGATAGGCTCCCTCTACATTTCCCCTATTTTCACTTTCTCTTGAAAGAAACAATTGGACCAAAAGCAAAGAAAAGATCGGGGCAAGGGAAGCCCCCCACGCAAGTGGAATTACGTTAGTGGAAATGCAATAATTATGCTGACCATGTTATCCCAAGCTCATAAAAGGACAAGGGAGAGAGAACGAAAGAGAGTGAGAAAAAGATCTGGATATAGATGACCTTTGGCCTTCTAAAAAGGTAGTAGGTCGACGTCTATAGGAAGATCCCGACGGTGTTTCTCATCTATCTCTCCTGGGGCAGGAGGTGAAGGAGAAAAAGTGAACTCGGGGGAGTGACTTTCCATCTCTGCGTAGTCCTACATCTCATAACATGGAAGTACCCTGGGACTCCGATTCCTCTCATTTCCTTCCCATTGCAATGATTACCCTGCATATCTCCACTAGATATGTCTCCCTATCACGGGATCATTTCCGTTATCATCAGAATTATGACTTATGGAAAGGGTAGATTATTGATCGATGAGAGGGTAGGAAATCAGGAATATATGGATTGGACGTTCATGCAGGCAGAAATATTCATTATTGAATGCCATCCGTGCGGAGGAGGCTCACGCCACGACTAAAATATTCATCTTCATATTCCTCCCCTTCCTTCTTCGTACTTCCAGTCGATCTATTCCCAACTTACCAACTGTAAGGGGAAAATAACATTTAAGCTGAGGTTCCGTGAATGTGTCAACATTCATGGAGAGGACAGGAGTCCTCATTCGATGCAGAATGGCCTTTCGATCGGGAAGCAGGACGACTTGGATTACCGCCAATCTTATTCCTCCATCGATTCTTCACCCATGCACCTCTCACCTCTCTACTCTCTATTCTCTGCACACATACACACACACACACACTCTCTCTCTCTCTCTCTCACACGCCTTATGTTGCCGATTTACATTGTTCCTCTTTCCCACGGGCTAAAAGGAGTGGGTGGTGAGGAAATGCTGTTTCACGGCTTGGCATTGAAAGAATGGTAGAGAGTCCTGCATTCACATCTCAGCCATCATGCACCATGCAGTCATAAAGGAAGAGACGCAATTTGACTTATCTATATTTCTGCTTCAGGGGCGTACGAAAAAGCGAGAGGGAAAACTTAAGAATCCTTCCTAATATTTACACACCTCCGGGTAGAGAATTTTTCTATTCCTGTCTTTGCATTGTATCCCACTCGGAGGAAGCTGCATCATTTAAAAGGAAATCAGGGGGAGGTGATGGGATAATCTCGTGCACCTGGGATAGGACTTGAATGCCAGCAAGACGAAGAAAAGGGGCCGCAGACAAGAGAAGGAATGAGAAGAAGCAGACGAAGGAGCTGTGCCAATAAATCCACCATCTTAGCTTCTCTCGGTTCGATCAATGGGCAGCAAGGGGAGGCCCAGGCACGCGAGATGGATCTATTACGCCAGTTCTGTTCGAAATCTCTCCAGCTGCTTCATATCCTTTACCTTTTCCCTGTTTCTTTTTCGACTTTTGGACTGGATAATGAAAATAATGATACTCAGGTCAGCAGAAGACTCGTTCATCATCCATAAATAAATAAAATAGACTCCCAAAACGACTTTCCAAAAAAATAAACGTGTCGCGGGGTACCCTTTGCACACAGCCAGCTCGTCCGCGGGGAAGGGTAGATTTTTCAGCATCAACGATGTTGAAAAATGCAAAAGCATGCTGTACTGAAAAAAGGGTAAACTTAATGGATTTCCACGACGTCGACCAGAATGTTGGCTTTCAAGTAAACGGGGGTGAAGAAAAAATGCATAAGGCGGCAGAGATATAATGCCGGGAGGAGTGAAAGCTTCCGTTAAGAAATGCAGAGGACTTTCTTAAGAAATCCGGAAACCTAAAAACGAATGGACTGATATAATGGATTCTTGTTAACAGAGTGGTCGAGGAGGTTTAAGTTCATATCTTTCAATCACACAGATGCCACAAACATGTTCTGCAAAACATCTTCCCCTTTTTAATTTACCATTTTGAATATTGATTGCAGAAAATGACGAGGAAGACGCCTTTTGCAAGACATGTAATCCGAAGAGTGGGTACAAAGTTTCCTTTAAAAAAAAAGGGGCAACATTTGGGAAAAGTGCGAGGAAGATGTCAGGACGAAGCTTGGCATGTTCCACAGAAGGAGTGGAGAGGAGCAATGTAGCCAGCCAGAATCATTAAAAAAGGATTCGCAAGTGGAAATGCGGTCACCCCCCTCCCTCGCAATTGGGCGGAGCCACGACTGCCTAGAGTAAAAGGATGACGCTTAAAGCCGTAGGCCCAAATGCTGAAACCTCTTAGATAACGGTCCTTTATAAATCCATGGAGTTCTATGAAGCAAAGAGCTCTTTATAGCTTAGAGGCCCTTTCATCTCGACTAAATGAGGTTTTACCATAGGAGCCTTAGAACCGGCATCGGAGGAAGACCAACGTACGAAAGTTGGGGACTAGGCAGGTATCATCCATTCTACTCAGTGTTACGAAAAAAACCGGAGTTATTTTACTATCCAACACTTTCGACAGCAGGGGTCTTTTTTTCCCCATCACTGTTGATCCTCGGCCTTACATATGGTGGGTGCAACTCAACAGTAGACAAATGGGATGCTAGATCGATTTTAATCATTCACCTACGTCACACGCATTCATCACTATTAAGGAGCTGTCACAAAAATGCAACTTGAGCTCAAATTCGGAATGCCGCTGAGTCATGAGGCACTTATTTTTCTCATCTTCGTTAATAGAAAATTAGCTCTATTATTAAACAAGACCTTGCATGCGAAAGTGCTGATTCAAATATCAAGGTGTCGTGTCCTCCAGAAACTAGTTTCTGCTCATCGAGGCTCATGGTTTATAGGGGGAAAAAAAACTAAAAATATCTCGCTAAATTGTGCAAAGAAGAGGAAAGACACGTCAACTGAAGATGGACGATCGAATGAATGACTTCCACGGGAAAGGACCGCGACATAATGAAAGGCTCTTCCACTAGCACAGAATCCAGAGAGAAGGAAAAAAGGAGTAAGAATGATCGATCCTCTTTGCAGCTGATGAGGTAAACCAAAATAAAGGGAAGATCACGTTGAAAAGAGATAGACAGACAGGCAGGAACTCTAAGAGCTCCTTTCCTCCGAAGAAATCCTCTTCTCCCTTTCCATTTGCTCCTCCTGTACTTCCACCACAGCCGTTATCTGATCTGTACCGATTTCCCCCTCAGAACAATTATAACCTTATGGGTGCATCAGCGATTTAATGGTAGGCCTGTCTTTGACGGAATTCCAGACGGGATATATGAAGCGCAAAATGACACGTAAGAGACCAGGGACTTGCAACCGCCGTTACAATTCAGCCCGGTTGGAGTGGTCAAGTTTCCATCATCATTCAACTATTAAACAAAAAACCTTTTAACGAAACACATTTCCATGTCATATTTTATTCGAGCCTTCGTCGAAAACGAACGTGATAACAGACAGGCACCCACAGGACGAGACTGAATGACCTCTGTCCTGAGAGACGACCTTTGTCTCCTGGAAAATAATGCTTCTGATCTCTGATCGGCAGAGCTATGGAATGAATAGCTGGTGAAAGGGGATAAGATATGATGCCTGTGGGGCAATTTTTCCCTTCAGCCGTGAAGCAAGAAGGCACCCGGTCGGTGCATTCCGTTCTATCGACAATCCACCATACACGACTCGTTTCCCCCCCCCCCCCTTTTTTTTTTCTACTCAGGAGGAAAGAAGAGACTGGGCATCAACTTCAACAGCTTTTCATCGAGCTCGGGTGATCCGGTATTGATGGAGCCCAATATCAATCGAAGAGATGTGGCCCAAGGATCAGCTTTTCAGCTGAAAAATGGCATGCATAAGGTCAAGAGGAAAAGCGCCTTCATATATCTTGCATTCTCTCTTCCTTTCTGTCTCCGGTCTCGGCTGATGACGCAAGAGCCTCGTGGGATGAAGGAAAAGAGGGGAAATCCCTTCTTCCTTCATCGCCTCCTTCATATTCATCAAAGGATCTCCCCCTCCATCTCCCTCTTCAGCATAATCTCTCCCTCAAGGAAACAGCCCGTTTGCTCGGAACATACACTTATTTCCTTTTCTGAGGATGCTAGGAACGGCAAGGAATTACTGGCACAGACTCGATTCCTTCATCGATCGGAGGTGCTGATGCGAATAAAATACACAGGAAGTTCTGCCAGGAAAAGAATGAGAGGAGGTGACAGGCGTCTCTCATTTACCCCGATTCGTCTTTCCACGCCATAAGTCTCCTCTGATTCTCTCTCTGCATCAATGAGCGTCTTTCTTGCGTTCCTTTTGGCACCGGACCAAAGAACCCATCCACGTGCCGAACATGTTTCTTGTCATTATGAGGTAAAAGTTGTAAGGCTTCGAACGTCACGTTGACTTCTTAAGGATAATGACAGTTGCCACTGCGAATTCCATGAATGAAGGAAAGCAACGTAGGAGCATGATCCTACCACATACAGGGTGTTAGAAGAGCAACTACTTAAAATTTAAATATAAAAAACTATGAAGGTAAAAAAATTATTCAACCACAATCTTTAGGGCCTTTTACAATATACAAATAAAACTCCCAAGTTTGAGCTTGTGATAATTTCGAACAAAGCATTTCCATGCAAAACGGCACCCGACCTCATCTCGCTAGCCACATCCGAGAATGGTTGAAGCATTTCCGTTTTGGGTTACTGTAACATCTAAGTTGTATACTTCAAAGCTCAGAAACCTCGAGGTGGAATGCAACCAGTCGAGAACGGGCGGTGATCCTTGCAGTTACGACACGTCTATCACCGTGCGTTTCCATGGGAGTTTCAAATGTCAACTTAGCGCTGATTTTCAGAAATTCTTCACCCAGCTGTTCCCCCCACCCCCACGTTTTGGCGTGTCAGATCATGGTAAGTATTATGAAAATGTCGAGTAACGTATAATGTAAAATAAGAACGTGAATGCTCGCAGTTCGAAACTACCGTAATAATGTTTAGTGAAGTGAAAAATTCGTAAGGGTTTCAAAAAAAAAAAAAGGTCATTGTGACCCAACTCCTCCAGCTCCAGCTTTCCAGGAGCAACACTGTTATGCTGAGCGCATTAATAGATATGCTTCGAAAACTTTGCGGAATTTAAGCTATGTACCGAATGTAATTCATTTTTAAAAGACTTTTCAAGCACAGTTGGAATCGGCTGATGTAAGATGGCAAATTTTGTCAAAAAAAAAGAACTAAAGACTGAACAAAGGGTCCTCTCGAAAATGCTGCACCCACCTGGGAACTGTGTTTGTTAGAAGCGCAAATCCGCATATACTGCTCCCAACTGCTTGTGAATGCTGGCAGCATTATCGCTTTTTATGGGAAAAATTTTCATGACCTCTTCGTTCCTCTTTAAAAATATTAACCCAGTTGAATCTTCCCATTGTTCTCTGAAAAAGTTATGACATCAGATACAAAGCTGCTCTTGAAAAGGTGAAGGAGCTGTCTCGCAATGATCAGTACTTTTTGAACGCACCTCGTACTATGATGATAGTAAGCATAATATGCACTGCAAATAAGAATATCTCATTTACATACTTAGCGTGATTCAGAAAAACTCCCTCATTCTCAAGCTAGGACTCAAATAAGCTCTCAACATTAGTAAGTTGTGGAAATAGGATGGAAAATGCATTTCGCGTCTCTTGTTCACTTCTAGCCTCATCGATGACTATCATCTAACAGGCGATTTCTGACGGGTCTTGATCCACTTCCCCACCCCCTCCCAACATTGGAAAGACGCTTCACAGTAGTACTGGAGACGGCTGTGTCATGCGTTAGGTAGACTACCTTGACCCTAATATTTTGGCTACGGGTAGTAATTTTTTCCCCCTCTCGACTAGGTCTGCCTTTTGCGCCTGATTTTGGGAGTGTCTGGGCATTCCGGATTCAAACCACCTCGCAAAATACAACTACGCATCTAATCCTTGATGGAAATGGTATTTTGCGATCACACAATGCTGAGGAAGCAACGACATGAGTGTTACGTGTGAATGCACCATCTGGCGGTGGGATTCGGCTCCAACTCTGGAACGTCGCGGTGCATAGATCGAGTCCCGGGGACCAGTCACGATGAAAGATCATGGTTGGGGTCGAACAAACTTCACTGTTACGTAGGGTCATTTGGGGTAAAACTAGAGGCTAATCCATCAGTTACAAGACTTCAAACGTGAGGGACGCCTTGAGCAAGGAGACGAGCCCCCTTTTCCCCTCCCTCAACGATTATCGATCCAGCAATCTCCCTTTGACGCAAACTGGTTACTTCTCTCTCTCTCTCTCTCTCTCTCCTATATCAGGTTTTCTCCCTCCCATCACCTTTGTCTACGGGTGCAACAGATCCTCCACAAACCTTCCAAATTCCACGGATAAAATTAGTAGATTAATTGTAACAATCTCCTGTCACTATCAGAAGGTGAAATTGGAAGATGATCCCAAGACCACCGCCCAAAGAGCTAATGACCTCGCAAATACTAAAAGAGTGACACGATAATCGGATGAGAGAACGAGGAAGCGAGGATAAAAGTGAGGAAGGAGGGTGTCCATTCATCTTGTTTTATCAGGGAAAAGGTTTTGATGGATGGATGGGGGGGGGGGGGGGGCGGGACGTCATCGGGTGAGGTGGGGGGGGGGGGGGGGGGGGGGGGGGGGGAACGTGACGTCATCGAGTGACGACATCTCGTCTCTTCTCTTGCTTGGCTGGGTCAATACCACCTACCGAAGGATTGTGGGACATGAACATCTTCCAAGGAGAAAGGAATATAGGCCCGAGCCAATCTCTTAAGACAAGTTACACTAGTCCATTCAACCTGACTTTCTACCTTCCCTCCTCAATCTCTAATATCGGACACAAACTGGGTACGATCCGATGGATGTAGAGGAGGAGCAAAGCCATCTTTCCTAAGCAGTTTTTCTGGTGTTTTTTCCCTAAGTGGACAACGTGATCAAATCCAGAGACAAAGTTGGTTGCCTAGCAACTCCTGGAATCTCATGCGATTACACCCCCCCCCCCCATGTTATTCCCAATGAAAGTCCTGTTCTTCCATGCCACTTTTTCCACTACCATAGCAACATGCATAATGGAATTATACCCAACACTTTCGACAAGGAAATAATATATTCCACCTGGAAATCTGTGAATAAGCTCCTATCAGCAGCTAGCACTGGAGATAAACGGCAAGGCTGAGTTACCAGTGATACTGTGAAAGGTCATTCTGCATCAAGTGTATAAATACATGGTATGGCAAAAGTCTCCCAACTTTTAACCTCTATCTTTGCGCTTAGTAAGAGCTGCTATATTCACAAAATTTGCACCGTAGAAACACTGATTTAATCAAAATCTTCTTGAAATTTCATAGGAATTATTTTCAATATTATTAATTCAAGCAAGAATTTATATTCTAGCTTTGGTGAACTTGGATTACTCAAAGTAGTTCAGAAGAGACATTTTAATGACATTTCAAAATATCATTGAAAAAGGACTATGCACAGTGTAAGTTTCATGAAACTATTTCCAGTGAGGACAGAGACTTATCAGCTAAAAGTGGGGATTTTTTTTCCATTATACCCCGAAGATAAAGCCAGATGCAGGAAGTTGTGGCATGATTCAAGGTCTGATACAGTATCTCGCCATTCAGGTAATAAACAAGGCAGAGAGTCATACTCCAGTCATACTCCAAAGTAAAACAAATAACAAAATCTGAGGTTTTCATTTCCTTTCTCTCCTTTGATTAGTTGGAGCTCATTCAATATGAGGCACACTAATCTGGTGTGAACTTTTAAAACTTTTAGCATGCTAATTAACTTTTGACTCTTTCCCAGAATTTCTAATTATGATTGTCCAGGCAGCAAGGAGAATGATTTAAGTTAGAATCAAATCAGCAAGCCTCAAATTTGAAAATTCAAGTGCAAATTTATAGAACTCCAAAAACAAAAATAGAACTGCAAGATGTTATCTTTTGTGCATTTAGGATGCTTATGGTCATTAGGTAGGCAATGGACAGCACGAAGCTTTTATATGTTTTGATTACTTTAATAGATATGAACAGTTCAAGACAACCAAAAGGAATAAAATATCAACTCACCTTTCAAGCTGGGAAGTTTGGTGATATCTCGGTTCTGACTAACATTGAATCGAGAGGAGCCTTGCCTCCGGTCCTTCTTCACTATGGCAGGTCCAATAGTTTTGATCTTGTTGATCTGAGTGGGTGGAGGCACATTTGGAGGCATGCTAGAGCTTGCACCATTTGCCTTGGTCATGGCTTGACCATCATTGTTACTCATTTTTGATACCTAAAATGTAGCAAGAGGCATTTCTTTGAGCAGTTTCAAGCAACCTCTCTTTCATACCATTTGCACATAACAGAGCAATCAATATACAGGGTGCGCGAGCTATTTGAGAACAAAATTTGACTTTGAGGAAAACAAAAATATTAAGTAGAAAAACCAATATATTTTCATAGAATTTGGTACACATGTTCTTACATACACATAACAAAAGGCTATTCAATAAAACCACCTTCAACCTCGATTACGGCCTCAATGCGGCTTCTGAAACGACTACATGCATTGATCAGGTGATTCTTATTTATGTTTGCCATAATGTCCCCGATGGCAGCCTTCAATGACGCCCCAGACGTAGTAGTCCAGGGGGTTTAAATCAGGAGAGCTAGGAGGCCAAATGTTATTGGTAACATGATTGCGAAAATTTTCAACCAGCCACTCCTGGGTCGTGCTGGCTGTGTGAGAGGGAGCAGAGTCTTGCTGGAACACGTACGGCCTCCCCCGAGCCGAGACACTGTCAAGCCCTGGATTGAGGGAGTGGCTTGGGGGAAACCATACGTGTTCCAGCAAGACTCTGCTCCCTCTCACACAGCCAGCACGACCCAGGAGTGGCTGGTCGAAAATTTTCGCAATCATGTTACCAATAACATTTGGCCTCCTAGCTCTCCTGATTTAAACCCCCTGGACTACTACGTCTGGGGTGTCGTTGAGAGGGAGACCAACAAGCATGCCCATAATACCAAGGACTCATTGAAGGCTGCCATCGGGGACATTATGGCAAACATAAATAAGAATCACCTGATCAATGCATGTAGTCTTTCAGAAGCCGCATCGAGGCCGTAATTGAGGTTGAAGGCGGTTTTATTGAATAGCCTTTTGTTATGTGTATGTAAGAACATGTGTACCAAATTCTATGAAAATATATTAGTTTTTCTACTTAATATTTTTGTTTTCCTCAAAGTCAAATTTTGTTCTCAAATAGCTTGCGCACCCTGTATGTTAACATTTCTCAAAAATGGACTTTAAAGAACACACTTGAGCTAGCACATTTGAGTTTGGAGGTAGTGCAAGTGCATCACAATGACTTATCACAACTGCAATGATTGCAATAGCCAAGGCTCATAGGATTAAGATACTGGTTTATCTGTCAGCAAATCGCTCACTCTCTTGCATCCTTTGCCATGCTCCATAAGCAGATAGAACAAAACATAGTCCCTTTCCCAAACATTCTGCTTTAAAGAGTTTCAAGTATCATCAAGCATATGTAAGTCCATTGGCATCCAATTTCCAAACCTGCTTGAAGTTGTTCAAATGTAGACTGCTTCATCTAATGAGGCATGCATGAGTCCCAGGGACAGCTTTTGCTTCTTTTTTTTACTACTACCCCTTACTTTTGATATTCATGTATTCATCTTGGCAATATTCTTAAGAAATACTTCCATTGATTTTAAGGTTATCAACACATTTCAGAATTAACAAATACAAAATGGAAACAAGCACAAAATTCAAATGGATGGAAAAAAATTATCCTGATTTTTAGTTCTTCAACTCCTTCACAATCTTCATTGTATCCTTTAAGTCAATGCAAGCATGGAATGCTCTTCTCATTTGAGACCTAAAGCTACTTGGCATCAAACTTAAAAACTGGTGCTGGGGATAAGAGAACCTTAGAAGATCAGATCATTGAATTTTCAAGTTAGCATTGAGCAAAATGCAAATTCTTAACATAACCCAGGCTGAATTGTGATGAGAATCTTACTCAAAGAAGAGTAAAACATGGAGATTTTATCCTAAGGTTATGGGTGCACTGAACTACACTATAGACCTACCAATCTTTGCTACTGACTGACTTTTATTATTATAGTCAAAATCTTTGGTTTATAAATTATGAAGAGATGCATAACTTCCCAAGCATCACTAATGTGTAACTACTGAATGAACATCAGAAAGAAAACCATAGCCCAGTCCTCGATTGACTAGGAGAAATGAGGACATAATCCACAATTTTGTCCGTTCACCATTTCAAAGGAAATATAGGATACCTGTTCCACCACTACACTGCAAGCTAATGGATGCATTAATCTTATAACCTTATATAAAGACTCATTCACCTCCTATTCTTTATTTATTAACCCAAGTTAGCAATGAGTGGCATGAAGCAGAATCCTAAAGGAGCAGGTTCCATTAATAGAGAAATACAAAGTGATTATAAAGTTGGGTGGCAAATGTACAACATTCTAGAACCAAAACTATGCAACACAGCTCAGTGAAAGTTCGGAGGTTATGTTGGTGTGCTGTGGGGAGAATGAACTGCAAAGAATAAAAGCCTCATAGGAGGCACTGATGGCATGACATCAAGTATTCATATTAAAAAATGCCCATGGCCCTCACCAAGTTCCACAACTGCTCACAATCAGTGTCCAACATTGCAGACTGCAGTTCTCAACATGTCACAAAGAATGGACTCCACTTCCCAGTGGATGGCATCATCCAGATCTGGTAATGATGCTGAATTGCTAAGGGCAGTAGCAGTCGATTGAAGATAGACAGTAGTGCACATTGCCATTTTGGAGATCTGGGATAACAGAGCATCTTCATGCATCATGGCACAACACCAGTGATTGTGACTCTTGCAACATCAGTGCTTATAGAAACCTTTTACGATGGGATCATCAGTATACATTTTCTGACAGCAGCCATCACCCATATCATTGGATCCAAAACTCAGCAAATTTTTGGTTTTAGGGGTATATGTATTCATGGATGTCTCTGACTTCATTATTAGAACTGAAGGATGCCATCTGCTGACATGTTAAGAGCAGCAGTCTACAATGTCGGACACTGATTGGAGGTAGTTGTGGAGCTTGGTGGGGGCTATATTAAGCATTTCTTACCCTGAACATATGATTCATGCCAGCAGCACCCCCTGTAAGGCATACTTTTCTTTTTTGCATACTGCTCTCCCAGTGGTTCACAAATATGACTCCCAAAGTTTCACTGAACTGAGGTACACAATTTTTATTTTAGAATGTTGTACACCCACCAAACACCTTCATAATCACCCTGTACAAAAAAGCCTAAGCAGGCATGCATGCAAAATGACTTGATAGGGAAGACCTCAGCATTACCGTTATCTCTCATGCAGCAGATGGAGAAGGCCAGAAAGACTGTGATTTAAGAGTCAGATGAGCCCTTCAGGAGAAAGACTTACTTCATCTGTGCCTTCATTTGCCATGCTATCTTGTTCAATGGCATCTTTTGCCATCACGATATCCTGGAAGAAGATGACAATTAGTGGTTGCACTGATAAAGATGTAAAATGGTAAGAAATAGCCCATACATTGTTGATTATGTTGAAGCCTAAACTCCTGACAATGGAGGAAATCATTAAGCTCAATGGGCTCTTACACTAGATGCTGACACTCTTGCCTTAGCTGTTCATTATCATGAAACTCTGGAAGTTTTCCAAGCTGTTGCAGTCTGTAACCCAAGAAAAGGCAAGTTGAACTTGCATTTATGCTAACACAAGAGACACCTAACCCCTATCCAACCAGGAATATATCACATTATACACAGTGAAAATTTCATGAAAATAGCTCAATAAAAGCAGAGAAATATTATGTTAGAAGTCATTGGTCAATTTCTTGCCATACATATAAGTGCAAAACCTTGTCTGCTTTTTCATGACTTTCAAAAATGAAATGCAGCCAAGTATGTGCATGAAAACTGCAAAAAAGCATGGTGTCATTCAGTGTAGAAGTCTTAGCTTAAACCCATCCCAGACCCAAGCAAAGATTGGATAATCTCCAAAGAAACTGGGTGCCCTATATTTCAGTTTGGGTATCTCTACAAAGTACATTACATGGATGAAAATGTAGAACATGAAATCAGAGAACTAGAAGCCTATGCAAAATACAGGATGGCCAATTCATTGGTTTAGGTATTTAGATTCTCAAAGAGTCAGCATCTATGGGAATGACAGTGAGAGACCTTGGTAGAGCAGGTCACTATACTATTGGGAGGATTGTGGGTCCAACATCATCACCAACAGGAAGCACCACACATTGGTTGAAATAAGCACTAGTGTAAGAAATGTCTAAAATATCCACTGTTTTCCTTAATGATGGCATCCAGTAGAGGATGCAGGTGACTGAGAGCCAACCGCAAAATCGGAGGTTTAAGGGACATCTCATCAAATAATGAGTCCTTCATCTCTGCTGGTGTCTCAGAATTGTGCAGAGACATGACACATCAGCCACATGGCCAATGTGCTCAAACTTGTGGACATGGTTTCTTAAAGCATACAACTGAGCAAAGTCCACACCTAAGATTGAGCTGATGACAATCATGGTCACAGCATAAGATTTGCCATGTTTGTGCTAATATCCAATAAGGTTCATGTGCCACTATGAAATCATCACTACTGACACTTCAGCTGTCACAAGCAACTATCATGAATGCCTGTTTAGGTGATGGTGGACCCATAATCCTCCTCATGGTGCAGTAAATTTCTCTACCAAGATTCAAGATAGCACATCCAATTGTTCCTCAGATACATCTTTCTGAGTAACTAACCCAATTAAAGGATCACTCCTGTATTAAAATTGGCTGTATTTCAAATTGTAACTCACTCAAGGTGACCACCTGTCCCAAATTGTCAAGTATTGAACTCAATCTTGAAAAGGTAGTCACCCCACCCAGAAAAAAATTTTTTTAAGTACATTAAATATTTAAAAAATATATAAAAGACTAATCCTTTGGACACACATTTTAAGCATTGTTCAGAAGTCTAGAATTTTTGTTGCATAAAAGGGTTGACTTGAAACTTTCATGCCTACCTGATTGTCTTCACAGTTGTTCTTCAGCTTTTCAACTGCATTGTCTCTAGACAAAGCCTGGGATTCACACTCATCAATCATTCCAAAAACTGAAAATGGAATTAGAGCAGTGTGTAATATGGACCAGAAAAATTCTTCCTTGGTCTTTGGAAATTGGAAACAAAATATTATTGGAAAAAAGTGAGCAAACATACATAAACTGTAAAGAAGAGCTTGTGGGATCAGAAAATAAAAATGAGATCAGCCAACGTGGCACCATAGGCTTATTATATTGTAATGTAAATACAATGAAATGAAATTATTCATGAGTATAGATTCAAGAACATAACTGCACATTCTCCACTAAAGCAACACTTTCCAGACAGGCTTCATCACTAGGCCTACATTTAACTTTAATTTAGCATTATTTCGGAATTCACAGTCATTCGGAGCCTCTGCCTTATTGCACCTTTGCCCCTCATCTATCCTAAACAAATACTGTTTCAAAAGGGATTTGCATTTTTTTAGGGTGAGCTTTGCAAAAAATTACAACCTCAAAAACTACTGCACTTGTGTCCAAATGTGATGTATATCTGTTGAAGATTACCTCCAAGGAGCTGAAAAGAAAGCATGATCCAAGAGACATAATGTAGTAAGTCAAGCAGACTTTCACAATTATCACATTTTATCACCATAGACATAACTCCTCAAACCACACTATCATTATATGTTAATAGAACTGACAGTTGCAGTACCAATGATCATAAGATGGTGTACGGTGTTTTTCACTTGAGTTAGACATTTTTTCACTTGACTTCGACAACGGTGCATGGTGAGGGTGATATAGTGGATCGACGCAGAAACTAGGAGTTACGTTCTTACGTGCAGCTGTCGTGATGACATTGGTGACAGTGATGATGATTAATTTCCTGCTGAAGAGAGGAAAATCAATATGTACCTTCCTAAATACACAATATATTGAAATGATAATTTAATTTCGTAGTGAAAAACTAGGCCTTCGTGTCATCCATTACTGTTTTCCTTGATAATATTTCAATAAAACAGGTGAAGTTTTGGACATCATTCCTGGGTTCTGAAGTATCACTCCTCATGCCAAACTCAAGTAGGCTAGATTAGGCCTATCTAACATGGATCTGGGATTGTCCATCAAAGTCCAATCCAGTGTTTCTACATCGTTGAGCCGATAGGAAATTGAAAACTTAGAGCCTTTTTGGTATAAATAGACTGCAAGGAAAGTCTCCCATTGACAACGTGGCTATGCATGCGGTTCATTGTTTCCAGTACATCGTTTGATTCCTATGAAAAAGCCTAAATATTCAAAGGAGAGAAAGATGTCGCTAGTCACCAGGGGCACCTGCACCCTCGCCTCCTCTCTGAATACCCCTCGCATCGGTGTCTTAGTCAAGAGAAAAATTGTCTAACTGAAGTGAAAAACACTAGATAGGGATAGGTGTCCCTACTTTGCCACAATGGCTGCCATACCTCCAGCTCCTATGGTTCTCTTCCTTGCTTCCACCCTCTCCAGCATGCTTATAGATTCTCTATAGGCTGACCTAACATGATCTAATTTCTGCTCAAAAACACTATTAGATCAGGGTATGAAGGCAAGATGCATGTTTTGCCCTGAAGAACAAGTCTCAAACCGAAAATCAGTTAAATACTAATAGTGGAAGGAAGCCCAAGGCAAACAGGTAGGTATGCTCAGTACCCAAATAAAATAGTACCTCTGTGCCTTCTCTTTGACAGAGGATGGAATAGGTGAAAGGATGAACATGCACTGACAGAAACAAAAAAGAATGATCACAAATTTAGGAGGTGGCACATCATCAATGTTTTCTGATTTAAGAATAAATATATAAGTATGAAAGATTCACCTTAGCAACAATTAATGAAATGGTATTATTCACTATCTTTCTTATTTTTGAAGTCTAACAAAAGGAAACTTCGTGCCCTCCTGAAAAAGGACACATTTCTTTATATTATATCCCCTTTGTCAGATCATTGATAACGACTATTGTGGAAATGACTGTTGTAGTCAGAAACCAAGAGCATAAAAAATTATCCCTTTGACAAAGAGCAAGAATGACCAGTGCTAAAAAAAAATCTTTCTCAGCTTCAATATTTATCCTCTTTTTTTCTTCCATTTACTAAATTGCATTTTAAATTTTTGACATGCATGGGAACAAGTTTGTGTTTCAGTTCTGAATATGGGAAACAAGCACATTGTCTTCTTATGCCACTTTTTATATAACTACAGTAGAACCTCGGTTATCCGGGCCTCGATTAACCGGTGATCGGATTATCCGTGCGTCTTTGTCGTCGACGTTTTTTTTTCGATACGGCCCGCTTTCGAATGGCAGAAGCTCTCACGTGCGCAGAAACATTATTGGAATTTCTAGAACGAGAAAGTGACTCGAATTTCAGTGATATTTTAATGCTACGCAAGATACGCACGTCGATAAAGTTGAAGCGGTGTAGGAACGTGAAACAGCGTCTTCTGACCGATTTTTTCAACAAAACAGACTATTAAAGCAATACCAGCAAAGGTAGGATTAGTATTTTATGAATAAATCGCATTTTAGTTAATATACCATAGCATTACATCGTTTTTTTTCGAATTCTGGATTATCCGTGGTTTTCGATTATCCGGCGAAGGTCTCCCGGTCATTAGCCCGGATAATCGAGGTTTTACTGTAATGGCAGTTGGAATGGCCAGAGGGAATGTATTAACATAATGATTATAACATTTTAATTATTTTCTTTGATTAAATAAATACTTCAAAATACATGTTTCACATTTTTTTATATAAAAAATGTATGCAATTCTTGATGCTACGACTACAGCAGACATGCAACAGTATAGCCAAACTGGCAGTAAAAGTAAGCTTGAAAGCATAATTTCTCCTTCTACCTATAATGCTACCCTCTCTTGGATGCCACATGATTGGCCCCTCTTTTCTAAGTTTCCAAGAAGGTAAGCCAACACAGTACAGTAATTTGCACATGCAGACCACCAGTTCCACTGAAACAGGTGTACAAACAGGTTTGAGCCAAACTCATTTCAAAATTTCCACTTTTGCCAGCTCATTAACATGAAGAGCCAAATGAAAGCCTAATATTTCCCAGTAAGTGTATCAGGAGTCTGGTGAGGAATAAAGTCATCACCATTATCAGCATGTTCCACTGCATATTTCACTCTAATGGAAAGCTAACAGTTCAAGTGTAAGAATATAATTCTTGCTCCTTTGATCCCTTCCCAGATTCCAACAATAAGCAATGGGTGGTCATTGCCAGCTCCTTGACCACTGCACAAAGTGAGAAAGTATACAAGTTAGTGTCAAAGTTTCTCTCTCTTGTTTCACTGTTGAACTGAGTTTAATTATTCCTTGGTGCAAATACAGGGTGTTTCAAAAGTAATTGTGCACTGAAACAACATAGCTATACTGGTAATACATAATGCTGATTGCTTTTTAAATGGTCCTTCTTGTACTGGAAGTCTTCCATTACCTCTGATGTGTTTTTGTTGTATTTGATCACTAATAACAAATACATTTTTTTTAATGACTTCTTCTGCATAAGATGTCTTCACAGCACAGTTACTTTTGAAACACCCTATACTTACAGCAGAGATCTGAAGTAATGTTTTCTTGTGCTTGTCAGTTTGATGGTAATGCTATCTTGGATCTTTGAATACTTAATATCAGGAAAATTACTATCATTCCCTTTTGAATCCCATTCTGAAGGGAGTGATTCCCTCAGTTGTCTCTAATGCAAATTCTAGGAAACCATTTACCTATAAACATGGGTTTGATTTAGTTAAGAGACATCTTTAGGAAACACTTGCAAGTTTAAGATGGAGTAAGTAGAGCAACATAGTGCAAAACAAGGATCACACAAAAAACCTACAAAGACTTGTGCTCTTGCATGAGTTCAATATGGTGTAGGCTACTAGACATAAACTCTACTCATGGCATTTGTCATTTCATCAATTTGTCTTTATCAGATAATTGGGAAACCAAAAGAAAGGTTCCTTCTGCTGACTGTCCCCAAGGTGATGTGATCCTGGCAAACCATTCCCACATAGGAATCCATTAGCAAAATGCCTATCTAAACTGAGCTAATGAATGGCCAGGAATTCAATATTACATTTCTGAGTGTGCCTCCTTCAATGATTGAATGTCATGAGGAGATTAGATCTTATATGAATCATTACAGATCTATTCCTCCCATCCATGCTGATCCAGGTGCAATGGACTACAACATAAGCTCTAGTATTACAATTACCTATCTAGTCTTGTTTATTGACCTCCCCCTTCCCCCCCTTTTCAATATTAAAATCCTTATGACTGATTCTAGAGCATTTGTTATGAATAATCATGAAGTTACATTCTCCACATTCAAAGCCAATTTACTTCTCAGCCATTAACTCAAGCTCAGGCTTCAGTATATTTAAGATTTCTTCAAAAGTTTTCCCAAAGTAAAATTAAAAGATATAAGCACCATCTGCATACAATTTCAATGCACCCTTTTCCAGTACTATCAATACCATTTCCATATCATTGACAAAGATCAAGAACATGAGTGGTCTCAACAGCAAACCTAGGAGTATCCTATAATTTAACAAAATCACTTTGAATGCCATTGTGATAAAGTAACTGTTGCCTGTTCTTCAAAAATTACAAAACTTTCTTTGTCCATTTCCCCTCATTCTATATCACTCCACGTTCCTTCACACTATTTCATGATCAACAGCATCAAATTGTTTTTGGATGAAACCAGAATGCTTGGGTTTGATTTTACCATCTGATTCTTTTGTGTCCTACTCTGTATAGAGTGGGACTTCTTACCTGATCTTTATTGGCCTGAACAATAAAATTGAGTTAGGCTAATCCATTGAAATATGCAAGAACCACATCTATGAAGCTACTAATGGAGTTGGACTTGAATAAAAAAAAAGCTCATGGAAAATGTCCTCAGTTTCACCACATATCAGATCATTATTGTGTGACAGATGAGCACTTGTTCAGGATAATGGCAAGCCCATTCTCTTTAAAACCTATTGTCAGGCATAAGTTAAAACTGAGGTTGAACGCTAG